GTGATAGGACACCAGTTGTTAGTCTTTGCCCACGTGGCGCTATTGCCATCATTGTTCCCTGCGCGTCAGGCCACAAATCTCGCTCCTGCTCGCCCGTGCCTCCCGCCTCGGGCCTGTGCTCCGGCAGAGATATCGCAGTCGGGGAGATGTAAACCAGTCCAGTGGGGTGAACGAGTTGGCTTCTTATTCACTGTTGTTATTGTGCAAGAGTGTTGTTCGGACACTGGCTGTTGCTCGGTTGTCGCGTGGCAAATGTGAGCCACATGTCTTCTTGCGGCTCTGTAGACATTTCGGTCTGAGCACTGGCTGCACTTCTTTTACTTTCGCTGTTTCACACCTCGCGCCCATGCCCCCAAGAACGCTTCCATTTGCTCACGGTGTGATACCGTACCTTCCCTGCATCTTGAAGGTCCAAGACCTCGCCTTGCGCCGCAAAATGAAAAGGATGTTCAGGGCTCTCTACGCGGCCAGGCGCAAAAACAGGTTGCTTCTTCAACGCGCGAAGCTCGTCCGCAAGAGCATCGAGCGACAGCAGTCGCAATGCCAATCTCTTTGCTGCTCGACCCTGAGGAACACCTCCGAAGGATATCCGCCCACCCTTCTTGGCCCTGAGGCCGTCTCATCGACCCCTGCGTCCCTGGGGGCAGTGATGAGAGCAGCAGGAGCACCTGCGCTGACGAGGGGAGCAGCCAGCACGGACGGCAGTTGGCCGCCGCAGCGTGTTTTTTGCACTCATTTTTTTTGGGCTGCATCGTGGGGTGGATGCACTGGGCTCTCTGCCGATGCTCAGCGATAGTCGCATGCTGCGGCGTCGCAACGACTGTCTGCGTCCCCGATGCAGGGGGCTCCCTGAACCACTCAGGATGCAACTCATCACCATCACCAGTCATCACAGTAAGCAGTATCTCATCGCGATCATCGTTCTGGTTTGCATGGTGGAGTTTTTCTCACACGCATCGCCACCATCACCATCGGCATAACCACATCATCACCACCATAAGCACCAACACATCATTCAGCATATGCGTGGTCAGCACTCTCATCACACATCTCATCACCAAACGTTTGAGGTCACGTGACGTAGCATAGCACGGCAACGCGTTGCACAGTACAGCATAGCGTCGCATCGCACGATGTTGTCTAACAGTGCATGCGGTTGAATGTGGTAGAAAAGTACAACCGATCACAGCATATTAGTTCTGGAGGTTGCATTGCAGCGCATATGTCACCATGGCACAGCATAGCTTAACGCAGCGTTCCGATGTCCCTGGTCCAAGGCGTTTCGCTTGACGTTGGTTTACAGGTCTCGGGGGTAGGCCCATCGGCAGATACTTGTAGGAGCCTTTACGAGACAAGCCCTGGTGCTTGACTGGTCGGGGGTAGAGGGGGATGGGCCTTTCTGAGGGCCCCAGCGAACATCAATCACCTACTCGTTTCGATTGGACTTGCCATGCCACGCTTCACATGTGCTGCCACGCTGCCGACGCAGAACAGGCAGCATGATTCGTATCCTGCTGCGCCGTTCTCCCGTTGCGTTGTTGCGGGTATTTGGCGGCATTCTGAAGTGAGACAGAAGGCAGATCTTGTGAGGCGGTGCTCTGAGAAGGGGCCGTGGCGGCATGCGAACACAACTCTGATCTCACGCGCCGTGCCCGACCGATTTGGGCGCCGAGGGGTTCGTATGGATAAGTGCGCCCTCGGGGAGGTAAGACGATGTTGCTCGCGGGATTGACAGAACATAACTCAAAGGGGCATCGGCTTCCTTCCCTGCCCTCCGCCATTCCCCCCCCCTGTGGGCCAGCCATTTTGGCATCGAGCTGCACCCTGCGGTGCAGCAGAGGGCTGCGCTGCCAGCCGCCGGCTGCAGCGCGGGATCGCCGTGCGAACGGCCATGGCCGCGCATGGCGCCGTGATGGTGAAGGAGGAGCACCGCGAGCTGGTGCGAGGAGCAGCTGAGAACGACTTCGCGATGTTGGACATCGACGTCGCCCTCGCTTGCAGGGCTTCGGTGCAGGCGCAGACTTCCAATGCTGCAGTTAAAGGAGAGGATGCCATTCGCGCGGGATCGTCCGAAGCGGCCGTCGGTCAGAGTGCAGGCGCTGAGGATGTTGGCGCGAAGGCGGAGGCTATGGAAGTAACGGGCGAGCGCGGCGCGAAGGTTGACATGGCCAGCGCGCTGAACGCGATGCCGAGCAAGATGATGAAGCACACCGATGTGGCGCCACCGCCGCAGAGTATCACCGTGGCTGCTCCAGTCGGCTCCGACGACGTCGAGCAGCCTTCGAGGGCGACTGGCGCTGATGACACTGAGCTCTGCATCGCGGGGCTGCCGATCAACGATGTATCACTGAGTGCGCAACTGCCCGGCGGGGACCTCTTCACGTGCATCAACCGCATGCGCACCGCGATCAACGGCTACGCGTCGAAGTTGGCAGCGCCTGGCTGTCACCGAAACTTCAAGCTCGGGGAGGCGCAGGCGCTGTTGCGGCGACTGCAGAAGCGCAGCTGCAACATCCTTGTAAAGAAGAACTACGACTTCCAAGTGGGATGCAAACAACTCGAGGCGAGGACCGTTGCCACCATCGAGCTGTACAAGAGCATCGAGGCATAGCTCGAGGCGCAAGACGAGTCGTTACTGCTGAAGACTTTGCCCCATTTCGCCGTGTTGACGGCGTACCTGGACGTGGTCGGCGAGACGTATTCCCGAGAGCTCTGCGTCGTCATCGGCTACGCGTTGTTCCATGGTGTATCCAAGAAGACTGGCAAAGTTCAGGGGGCCCTCGCAGTGATGGACCCGCGCGTCTTCACGCTTGCCGCGAACCTTGCGGAGCAGTTCGACGATTCCGCGGGCGCAGTGGATGGCGCTGTCGGCGCAGCGGCGGCGGAGGAGCAATGCGAACTTGAGGGGGCAGGCGCTGCAGGAGGGCTTGAGGGCGAAAGGAAGAGAGCGAAAGTTGCCGCGGTCGACTTGAGCACTCGCGTGGTCGCCGACGCCTCCGCTCTCCGTCGCATGTCCACCATGGTCTCGGAGGCTTTCCGAAGCTGGGCGTTCCCCTTGAAGATGGAGATTCTGATGGACGAGGGGCAGACGAGACAGCTGGTCAACGACGCGAGCTCGATAGCGCACATGTGGTATCAGAAATGCACTGAGTACGACGACGACAGCGTGTTCGGCGAGCTCCTCAAGGCCGTCGCCATCGTGACGCAGTGCAGTCTGCGCGAGGAGAGTGGACGTCCTGCCGCACAGTTGGCGAGGAAGGCTCGCAGAATCATTCTCGAGACCATTCGCCGGGCCCAAGGTAATAATCCAGTGTCTGAGCTCGCGCGCATCATGGTCAGCTACGTCGTGCCCAAGCTTGTCATGGAGGTATCCAGGCTACACGTTGCGCCGAATGTTGAAGACGACGCTGCGACGTCCACCGCGCGGCATAGCGTGGACCACTTCGAGCAGGCTTTCTCAGAGGCGTTCGACAACATAAACATTTGGCGAGCTACGTTGGCCGCGAGCTCAGAGGGGAAGCTCACCCTTGTGACGGCTAAGATGGAGGAATTGGGTTTGCTTTTCACGGGGCTGACTGGCCCGATCCAGCGATGGTCCACTGCTGCGTTGCATCGGAACGTTCCCATAGTCGTCGAGTCTCTGCAGAACGCCCTGGAGATCCTTAAGATTGGGAACTACCTCGTGGCCCATGTATTCTTCAATGCTTGCTGCAACGACGTCGTCGAGATGGGCGCGAACCTTCCGGACTTACTCAGCAACAGCGAGCACCGCCGCAAGCTTTTGGAGGGGGGGGGGCGAGATAGATGAACTCAATGAGCAGCGCGTTCGCTTGATCAAGGAGATCTCAGTGGTCACGACCAAGGCCCAGGACTACATGAAAGGCTTGCATGCTTGCTCGGGGGTCATCAAGGATATCACAATCGCTGGTTCGCCCTCGTGATGCACGTGTTGCGAAGGGCTGGCGCCCTCGCTCAGGATGCATTTGGTGAGGTCGAGAAGGTTACGTTCGGGTGCGCCATTGATAATACAAAGGGTCAGTTGCAGGATTGCGGAGGGTACATCACGAAGGTCACGGAGATTGCGCTGGCTATGGCATCCACGGAGACATCCGACAACTTCGAGAGCAACGTCATCGACCTGGCCAGGCTAACCTCTCGCTGGCCTACGCAGCCAATCAAGTGGTTCACTGACAGCTCCGCAACCGACCCCGAGGTGATCAATCAGACGTCCGAGAAGATGAAGAGTTTCACGGATACCATCGGTGGCGAGGGGTGTCAGAGCAACGCATGCAACCCAAAGGACACATTGGTTGGCACGCCCGTTCGTTTACTGGGGAGCCGTCTGGGAACCAGGGGGGCAGTCCAAGGGGAAGGGGCCCAGGGTCCTCCGGTAACGTGATAGGAAACTGTTCGGAAGGGTCCCCCAGCAGGACTAGGGGATTCGAGGGCCCAGGGTCCAGGATAGAGGGTGTAATATCGAAAGGGTAATGCCAACCTTTGCAGGCTGTGATGTCTACAATCTTGCCACGTGTGATCTCGTGGGGAAATCGCTTGACAAGATCAAGGTGGTTCTTAATTTTTGCGTTGGTGACGTCCACAAGGACGTGGTGGAGAATGCCAGGGATTCGGCTGTATTTCAGATGCTCATTCGCGATGTGAAGGACACCGCTGACATCGAGCTCGGCGTCACCTTCGAAGACGGCGGCGCGAAGGACTTGCAGAAGATAGACTGCTGTGACCATCGCGTTGCAATGAGGAACTTGAGGCAGCTCGTGGATGCAAGCTCTTTGGCCCACATCAAAGTTGATTGGTGCGTCAACCCGGCCGACGAGTCGGACAAGCAGATGCCGCACGACGACGCCCTGGTGTACTTCGACATCGCGAACAAGACAAATGACATTGCTAGCATCATGGCCTCATTGCAGCGCGCGCTGTACACAAACGTTGGCGGTTCGGAGACGGTGGGGCTCGACGCTGAGGGTTGCAACAAGGCCGTCTAAATGCACGCGGTGCTCAGCAATGCCATTGTGCGGCTCGATGGCGTGATCAACTCGGATGGCGCGCTGAAGCTGGAGGCGAACGGGTGGCAGCTCCCCTTCGGCATCCAGACGCTGCGGTCCTGGCTCGTGCTCGCGGGGGTCTTCGCGCGGAAGTGCCGCAACCACATCGTGCTGGTGTTGTGCGGGCACGTCAACATCTTGGCGGACACAGTGAAGACCACGAGTCCATCGTATGGAGCTGCGTTCAAGGCTGCATCGATGGATGTCAAGATGGCCTGCAGCTTCTTCGACAACAAGTTGGGCCCAGTGATCGAGGCTTACAGCGACTTGCACGGCGGCCTCTCGCGCTTGAGTCTTGCGGCCGACCTCATGATGCTGACGCCCGCCGTGAGCGACCGCGAGCTGACCAGCCAGACGGTGGCAGTCGGCGTGGAGATGCTGGTCATGGGGAGGGGGGGGGGGGGGCGTCGAAGGGACGCAGCGCAGGATGAGGAACAGGCGAGGGGGATAAGGGCGGGGGGAGGAGAGAGGAGGAGGAGGAGGAGGAGGAGGAGGAGGAGGAGGAGGAGGCGCATGAGGAGGACGAGGAGGAGGCGGAGGAGGAGGACGAGGAGGAGGAGGAGGAGGAGGAGGAGGAGGATTGTGCTAGGATTGTGCTACTTAGGACTTACGCAGATGGAGAGCACCACGCAAGCCGCCTTCGCCGTGCAAGTTAGAACTTACAAGGGCTTCCCTGTGGATGGATGGCGGCCCTCCCACAAACGCGTCAGTCGACCCTTGGCTGTCCGAGCTCGGGCGGGCGTGCAGCCCTCCTTCACAAGGTTCGTCCACTTACACTGAGCGTAGGAAGCGCATCGCCTGCAGAATACAACATTGGGGCGGAACACGAGGTGGTGTCCTAGCCCCTGTGCCTTAAGAATGCGTGCTTGTCGGGCTTCGAATTCGACAGATTCTGCGCCCGACGGCCCGCTGATTTGTGGCCCTGGGAGCGTCACGGTCCCTGGGGCCCACCGACGGGGAAGGGGGAGGCAGAGGAGGAGGAGGAGGAGGAGGAGGAGGAGGTGGAGGAGGAGGGGAGGAGGAGGAGGAGGAGGGGAGGAGGAGGAGGAGGGAGGAGGAGCAGGATGAGGAGGAGGATGAGGAGGAGGGAGGAGGAGGATACTGAGTGGACGAGGAGCCGAGGGGGAGTGGAGGAGGAGTGGAGGAGTGGAGGAGGAGAAGGACGGAGGAGGCGGAGGATAAAGGAGAGGATGTGCCAATTTCAATTTGGCCCGACTGGCCTCATCTTGCGCATCGCCCTTTGGCGACCCCCCCCCCAGGGCAAGGCCAACCAAGTGTGCGTGCTGATCAGGGGGTCCTTCCTGATCGCAGAGCACACGCACACCCCCGACGGCAGCCGCCTCGCCCGAGAGTTCATAGAAAAGAGCCACACGCAGAAGACGATCGGCATTCCAGAGTGTTTCTGGGCAGAGCTCGAGGCCATGCAAGACGCCAGCACCGAGGACATGCGCACAGTCGACGGCGGCGCTGCTGGCTCAGCCTCGGGCTGCGGCACGCCCAGGCCCAAGCAGAAAGAGAACGCCAGCCACATCGGATCTGGCTCGAAGGTGCCAGCAGTGAAGGCCGAGGCTGGCGAGTCGGCGGCAGCGACGCCGACCGCGCCTCCTCCGACAGCGGCGAAGGCCGCTAGCGTCGGAGGCGGCGGCGGCGGCCTTCGCCGCACCAAGCGCAAGGAGTAGGCGCTTGCGCCACTCGAGGTGTAACGGGGGAGGGAGGATATCCTCACCCCCATCGCTCCTCCTCTTCCCATCGCCCCCACGCTCTCTCACTCCTCCTCCCTCCTCCGCCCCCTCCTCCTCCTCCTCCTCCTCCTCCTCCTCCTCCTCCTCCTCCTCCTCCTCTCTCCTCCTCCTCCTCCTCCTCCTCCTACCTCACTCCTCCTCCTCCTCCGCCTACCTCACTTCTCCTCCCCCCGCTCCCCCTCCTCCTCCTCCTCCTCCTTCTCCTCCTCCTTCTCCTCCTCCTCCTCCTCCTCCTCCTCCGCCTCCTCCCTCGCTTACCCTCATCCCCTCACTCATCCCCCTCCTCCCTCTCCCTCCTTAACCTCTCGCTCCCCCCTTTCGCATGGCGACGAGGGGGAGGGGGGGGGGCAGGGTCACGGGGGAGGTCGAAGATAACGATGGGGACCACTCAGGGCAGGATGATGCTTCACGGCATGGTTGTTTCCCTCGCGATGGGGGTTCGCGAGCTGGCGCTTCAGACCTCCCCCCCCCCTCCTCTCGCCCTCTCGTCTCCTCTCTGGCCGAGGTTGCTCTCGGCCCGCGGGTGTTGGGACTGCCGTGATGTCCGCAGCTGGAAGCTGGAGCGCGCAGCCCCCTCAGAACCCCTCATCCTACTCCGACTTGTCCCTCTGCTCCTCGTGTCAGGATGGGGGGCTCCGACTTGCCCCTCTGCTCTGCTACTCCGACTTGCCCCTGTGTTCCTCGAGGCTCCTTTCCTCTCGTGTTCTTTCGAGGGTCCAAGGGGGGCCAGGGCGCGAAGATACTTGCAGCCGCGAGCGAGGGAGCGAAGGTAATCGCTATAAAACTATCAGGGGTGGGGGCGCGCATGGTGGGTAGGTTTAGCAGCGCGCGGCGAGAGGGAGACCGCCGCGCCTCACCGCCGCCGCCGCCGCCGATAAGGGAGATGAAGAAGATGGGGGGGGCACGAAACACTGCACGTGAGAAACGCAACCATGAAGAACATAAGGGGGCGAAGGTAAACCATGATCATGCTGAAGAGGTAGGAGCAATGAGGAGATGGGAGGATGAGGCGGGGATAGAGGGAGGCGGCAACGGAGGATTTGAAAACGTGCATCGCTGAAACGTTCCGCCCATTCGGATTTTGACGGCCACATTTGGTCGCAAGGTTTGCCTTGACGGCTTAGGCGTTTTGCCCCCTTGACGCCCCCCCCTGACTTGACGTTGGGGGGGGGTATAGATCAGACCCTCACGGCGCGCTCAACAGAGGACGGGCCGCAGAGGCATGGGCACGAGGGTACTCTTGCTGGAGGCGCGCATCCTTACTAGGCGCGCGGAAGGTGGTTTCTCGCCCCGGGTCGCTCTGGCGGCCCCGAGATCTGAAGGGGCCCCGCCGGGCCTGAGGTTCACGACGCGCGGGTCGGGCCGGGCGAAAGGGGGGGATAGCAAAGGGGGGGTTGGAGAATCAGCTCGCGTAGCTGATTTTCCCGGCGCCTCCCGGCGCCGGAGGCGGCTATGTATCGAGGAATGGGCCCCTCGGTGGGGCCGAAACAAGCTGCATGCAGCAAATTTCGTAACCCCCCCTTTCCCTGTCCCCCCCTTTCGTCCGGCCCGAGAGGTTCACGACGCGCGGGGGGCTGGGCCGCGCCAGACTGGCCCCCGGACCTGTCCCCTGGTGGGTTCTGGGCAGAGTGCACGCGCAGATCCAGCCGCGGCGACGACACGCCTCACGGAAACCACGAGGGCCTCAGCGACGCTCACAAACCTCGATCCTCTCCCCTCCCATCCTCCTCCTCCTCCTCCTCCTCCTCCTCCTCCTCCTCGCCCTCGTTCCTCCTCTCCTTCTCTCCCTTCTCCCTCCCCAGCACTCCTCTCTCCTCCTTCTCCCTCCTCCCTCTTGCCTCCCTCCTCCCTTCTCCTGTTTTTCCTCCTCCTCCTCCTCCTCCTCCTCCTCCTTCTCCTCCTCCTCCTCCTCCTCCTCCTCCTCCTCCTCCTCCTCCTCCTCCCCGCTCCTCCTCACTCCTCCTTGCTCCTCGCTCCTCCCTCCCTCCCCTTCCTTTCCGCGGCGGCCCGCCACCCGACGCCGGCCACGGCCGACGACGAGGAAGACGACGACAACGACACTGGCCCCCGCCGACGACGACGACGACGACGACGACGACGACGGCGCCCGACGACGACGACGACGACGACGACGACGCCGCCAGCCGCCGTCGTCGCTGCCGCCGACGACAGCACGCCCTCTTCTCCGCGGGCGGCGGCCGCGTCGCCAAACGTCGTAGGCCACCAGGCGCCGATCGGGCGCGCCGCCAGGCCGGGGGCGAGCCCTCTCGCGCGTGGCGGGCAGCGCCGCTCGTGCGCGCGCGAGGCGCGCGAGGCTCGCTGGCTCGCGCGCGGAACCCGTATGTTCGTTAGCTACATGTGGCCCCAGTCGAAAGCCTCGTCGTCGTCGTCGTCGTCGTCGTCGTCGTCGTCGTCGTCGTCGTCGTCGTCCTCGTCGTCCTCGTCGTCGACATCGCTGACCGCCTCGCCGATGTCGAAGGCCTCGTCGTCGTCGCTGTCGAAGGCCTCGCCGTCGTCTTGGTCGTCGACGCAGGTTTCGCCGCTGCGGCCAGAGGCCAGGAGCCGAACGCTCTCGCGCCAGGCCACCGCTCAGACCACCGCGGGGCTTCAGCGCACCTGGCGCGGCGCGCCCGCGAGGCGGGCGCTGACACGCTGGCGGAGCCAGTCGTGGAGGTACCCCGCTGGGGAGCAGCATGCGCAGGAGCCTTTGTGAAGAACCTTCGTAGGACCTTCGAGGCCTGTGCCGATGCTCCTCAGAACGTGAGTCAGCGCCAAGGTGTGCTTGTCCACCAGCGCCCTTCAATACGACGCAGGCGGCTCAACGCGGGCCGACACAGACTGCACGCTATCGGCGGAGCTGACCAGGGCAAACACACGTTTGGGCTAACACGCGTCCTGAGGAGCATCGCCCTTCAAAGGCCTTCGGATCGGGGTCGCACTGGCCCCGGCCAACGTAAACCCGGCTCAGTCAGGCCTTGCAGGACCCTGCAAGACCCTGCAGGATCCTGCGCGCTAGCCCTGGTGAGTGCAGCCCTGGCCTTGCAGGATCCTGCACGCTCCGGCGCTCTGGCTGATCCCCCTTTGCTCTGACCCCCGTCCCCTCCCCCTCATTATTCTGGACCTTCCACCCGTACCTTTCGCCCCTTTTTTCACATGATCTACGTAAGTTCCTCGAATCGCGTGAGGTTCCCATGCGTTTCGGTGAAGTCTTCCGCACCTGACGCGGAGGTCGGAAGGCATGGGAGGAGGTGGAGGAGGTGGAGGAGGAGGAGGAGGAGGAGAAGGAGAAGGGAGGAGGAGGGAGGAGGAGGAGGGAGGAGGAGGAGGTGGAGGAGGAAGAGGAGGAGGAGGAGGAGGAGGAGGAAGAGGAGGAGGGAGATGGAGGGTCCCTGGAACCCCGATCGGAGAGGCTCCAGAGACCTCCAGGAGGGCGCTTCTGCGGGCACCTGGGGGCCTCCCGCGAGGCCTGCGGAGACCTCTGGGGGGCCTCCGCGGAAGACATCTGCACGCCACCACCGCGCCTGGCCGGGGCACATCCTGTTGGAGGCCCAGGAATGGGCATCAACACCAACACTCGGGGTTGCCTCCACCAGGGGGAAGATGATCCTGGATTTCGGCGCTGGTGGCAATATTTCGGTCACCTTGGAAGCCAGGATCTTACCACCATCGCCGAGATCGGGATCTTCTTCCCTCGGTGTAGGCATGGTGTTGGTGTCAACCTCTAAACCTGCGATCCTGGGCTCTTGTGCGGCGTCTCCCAGAAGGTCTGCGGTCAGGAACTGTTTGGCTTATAGTCAGCCCGTATAGTATCAAGGACGCGCGATGCACGTCGGTCGGAAGACGTGGGTGAAAACATGAAGTACGAAAACATTGGAACATAGATTGGGCTTCCGCTCGCCCCCTGAAGACGAAGGTAAACGGAAAAATACTCGATCTTTGAAATAGGAAGGCGCCTAAAGTAGATTGGAATTTGGGAATCTCCGAACACCTCCTGTCAGCGACAGGCGCGTAAGGATGCAGGGGCCTTGAAGGCCATGACTGCACTTTGCGAGCGGGGCGCGGCCCGCGAGAGCGGCCAAGAATGGGCCGAAGGGGCAAGGATGCAAGGATACTTCAGTAGTGGAAACAATTGGTTTTCAAAATGCTTGGTCTTTAGAAGCTCTGCGTGGCGACGCCCCCGTCGCCACGCGTACCCTCTGCGTGCCTGCGGGGGCGCCGCCACGTAGAAGTACTGGAGACCGAGCATTTGGGGCGTCGCTACGCACGCCCGCTGCGTGGCTGCGACCATGTGTTAAACACTAAAACCGATTAAATTCACTAATGAAATAACCTTCGACAGCTGCTCCCGGCAAGTCCCCGGCAAGTCCCCGGCAAGGTCGGGTCAGAGATGCCGGAGTTCTGTTTCGGAGTCCAAGAGGGCTCCAGATCGGTCCAAGAGCGCCCCGAGAAGCTTTCTAGACGGTCCAAGAGAAGCCCGAGACGGCCAAAGATCGCCCGAAGACGCCCCAGATGGCCCCAAGACAGCCCAAGAGGCCTCCAAGACGCTCCAAGGGCCTTCCAAGAGGCGTCCGAAGAGGGCCCCAAGTTGCCAAAATTGTTGATTTTCATTGTTTTTTCGTTTTTTTTTTTTTTTTTTTTTTGTTTTTTGTTTTTTTTTCCGTTCTGGCCTTTTCGCTTCCTGACCATAGAGGGTGCGCACGGGGTGGTCCCCCTATCCGCGCCGGTCGTCCAGGCCGTAGCAGGCGTGGCAGTTTCTCGACGCCGTAGGGGGTGCGCAGGGGGTGGTCCCCCTATCCGCGCCGGTCGTCCAGGCCGTAGCAGGCGTGGCAGTTTCTCGATAGGGGTGCGCACGGGGTGGTCCCCCTATCCGCGCCGGTCGTCCAGGCCGTGGCAGGGGGGTGCGCACTAGTCGTCCAGGCCGTAGCAGGCGTGGCAGTTAGGCCGTTCGTCCAGGCCGTAGCAGCGTGGCAGTTTCCGGTCCATGGTCGTGCGTCCATAATCTCGCACCAGGGGGGTGCGCACGGGGTGGTCCCCTATCCGCGCCGGTCGTCCAGGCCGTAGCAGGCGTGGCAGTTTCTCGACACCATAAGGGGTGCGCAGGGGGTGGTCCCCCTATCCGCGCCGGTCGTCCAGGCCGTAGCAGGCGTGGCAGTTTCTCGACACCATAGGGGGTGCGCACGGGGTGGTCCCCCTATCCGCGCCGGTCGTCCAGGCCGTAGCAGGCGTGGCAGTTTCTCGACACCATAGGGGGTGCGCAGGGGGTGGTCCCCCTATCCGCGCCGGTCGTCCAGGCCGTAGCAGGCGTGGCAGTTTCTCGACACCATAGGGGGTGCGCAGGGGGTGGTCCCCCTATCCGCGCCGGTCGTCCAGGCCGTAGCAGGCGTGGCAGTTTCTCGACACCATAGGGGGTGCGCACGGGGTGGTCCCCCTATCCGCGCCGGTCGTTCAGGCCGTAGCAGGCGTGGCAGTTTCTCGACACCATAGGGGGTGCGCAGGGGGTGGTCCCCCTATCCGCGCCGGTCGTCCAGGCCGTAGCAGGCGTGGCAGTTTCTCGATACCATAGGGGGTGCGCACGGGGTGGTCCCCCTATCCGCGCCGGTCGTCCAGGGCAGAGCAGGCGTGGCACTTTCTCGACACTTAGGGGGTGCGCAGGGGGTGGTCCCTGAGCGCGGCCGCTATCCGAGACGGTCGTCCAGGGCATAGCAGGCGTGGCACTTTCTCGACACCATAGGGGGTGCGCAGGGGGTGGTCCCTGAGCGCGGCCGCTATCCGAGACGGTCGTCCAGGGCATAGTAGGCGTGGCACTTTCTCGATTCCATAGGGGGTGCGCAGGGGGTGGTCCCTGAGCGCGGCCGCTATCCGAGACGGTCGTCCAGGGCATAGTAGGCGTGGCACTTTCTCGATTCCATAGGGGGTGCGCAGGGGGTGGTCCCCGAGCGCGGCCGCTATTCGAGACGGTCGTCCAGGGCATAGCAGGTGTGGCACTTTCTCGACACCATAGGGGGTGCGCAGGGGTTGGTCCCTCACCGCGGCCGCTATGCACGACGGTCGTCCAGGGCATAGCAGGTGTGGCACTTTCTCGACACCATAGGGGGTGCGCAGGGGGTGGTCCCTCACCGCGGCCGCTATGCACGACGGTCGTCCAGGGCATAGCAGGCGTGGCACTTTCTGGACAAAATAAGGGGTGCGCAGGGGGTGGCAACGGCCACCAACATCATTCTTACATGCTTCACTTTAGCTATCATCACTTCAGCCATAATATAAGTATGTGGGGTTCCTCGGCAGCGTAATTTCGATGTTTTTTTTGGGGGGGCGTTCTGGCCTTTTCGCTTCCGGACGCTCCAAGAAGGCCCAAGAGGCCTTCAAGACTGCTCCAAGACGGCCCACGAGGCTCCCAAGACGGCCCCGGAGCGGCCCAAGAGCGCCCCCCAGACGGCCCAAGTGCTGCCCAAGGCGGACCAAGAGGCCCCAAGACGGGCCCAAGAGGGGCTCAAGAAGGGAACCGAGAACTGAAAAATCGAGCCCTCCGCCCCAGAAGGCGCCCAGGACCCCGAAAGAGGCCCCAAGAGACTCTCCAAGACACCCCCAAGACGCCCCAATAAGCTCCCGTGAGGCCCCAAGAGGACCAACAACGTCAGGCCCCAGGCCCCAAGAGGACCAACAAATACCGCCAAGAGCCCGCCGAAAGCCCCCCAAGAGACCGTCACGAGAGCTCAGGAGGCCCCCTGGAGGCCTCCCGAGTTCTCCAAGAGGCCTAAAAAGAGGCGCCAAGAGGCCCCAAACGGCCCCACCGAGGCTCCAAGAGGCCACGAACGCGCAAGCAAACGCCTGCGATGGCACAATACGGGCCGGCGGAATGAGCGAAGCGATTAAATAAAGTGACCTTCGACAGTTGCTCATCTCTAGAATGCAGGTTGACTGCAGCGTGTCGCGCCGCCGATTCTGGCCCATCGCGATTCGGCGCGAGACGCCGTCCAGGTCCCGAGCGCTGCCCAGCTTTCCGCCCCGCGGGGCGGAGCGACACGCGATCCGCTTGCAGGGCATAGGGTGTCGCCGGGGCCGCCGCCGCGACTCAGGAGGACGAGGAGGTTACTCGGAGGTTGTGAGATAATTTTTGTGTAGGTCGGGTCTCTGGAAGCCTCTGCGGGCCTCCGGGGGGGCCCTCTTGAGACACCTGGAGACTTGTAGCTGTCGTGCTGCCACGGTGGATTCTGAGTAAGGGACGAGGGGGCTCTTCTGGTGACGGCCAGCCTCGGCCACGAACAAGATCTCCGACACAGATGTGGAAAGCGGCCCGAAACCCAGCGCCCGTCCCTGAGTCCCAGGTGGTCCTCATGCCAACGTCTTGACTGCAGGAGCGGGGGGGCACGGGGCCAATGAGGCGTCGAAGCGACTCCTCCATAGCCGGGCAAGACTCCCGGAGCGCCGCCCGAGCTGCCGGCTGCGAGGCTACAGGCTACAGAAGGCAGCGCCCTGTTGGCGTCAGAGACGCAGCTTCGCTCCCCCTCGCTGGCGCTACTGGTGAAAACAACACATGCGGCACTGGGGAGGAGCGCCACCGCCTGCGAGGAGAGGAGAGAGGTCGACCAGCCAACAGCCTCTTGATGCAGGCAGAGTGGCGGCCATTGGCTCGCTCTTCGCGTGCACCAGCTGTCGGGCATGCTCCCGCGATCTCCTCTGGCTCGCTCGGGCAGCCTTGAAAATGCAGTGAACACCGCACCGATAGCGCCACTCCCACAGCCACTTCGGCACGGGGGCGAAAGAGGAGGAGGAGGAAGAGGAGGAGGAGGAGGAGGAGGAGGAGGAGGAGGAGGAGGAGGAGGAGGAGGAGAAGGAGCAATGACAACTGCACAGGTAGGCACTCCCACAGCCACTGCGGCACGAGGGTGGAGGAGGAGGAGGAGGAGGAGGAGGAGGAGGAGGAGGAGGAGGGGGAGGAGGAGGAGGAGAAGGAGGAGGATGACCAGTGTAAACCCAATAGTCATCAAGGATGTAGGAATAAACCCTCCCTCCAAATTCCCTCTTCACAAGCCTCTACAAGGGTTCATTTCCACTGAGGGAACTGCCTCGTTGGAAGACAAGCGTTTGAAGACCCTGGAGCATGCCAAAACATCGCTGTCGGGATTCCATCGCTACGGATCAAAACGACTGTTGCGTCTTGACGATCCAGAATTGTACCAGAACGCTTTTCCTGGGACGTCAACAACGCGAATCAACGTAACTGTTGTGCCCTTATAATCCTGAATCCTTCCAAAACACCATGTCTGCTACGCTGATCATGGAATCCGTAGAACTCTGGCAAATATTACATTATGCGGGCGAAAGGCCCAACCATACGCAAGTGTGAGAACCGCAAGGCAGCAACAAGAATTCCCAATGGGGCCTCGAACCGTGTGAGGGGTGCGCCAAAATGGCGCGGGGCCCCCATGCGAACCCTGCCAATGGGGCCTTCGGTGGAGCTCCCTGTGGGGCCACAAGCCGTGTGAGGGGGGCGTCAAAATGGCGCGGGGCCGCCATGCGAACCCTGCCACTGGGGCCTTCGGTGAAACTCCATATGGGGCCACGAACCGTGCGAGGGGTGGGCCAAAATGGCGCGGGGCCGCCATGCGAACCCTGCCACTGGGGTCTTCGGTGGAGCTGCTTGTGGGGCCACGAACCGTGTGAGGGGTGGGCCAAAATGGCGCGGGGCCGCCATGCGAGCCCTGCCACTGGGGTCTTCGGTGGAGCTGCTTGTGGGGCCACGAACCGTGTGAGGGGTGGGCCAAAATGGCGCGGGGCCGCCATGTGAACCCTGCCACTGGGGTCTTCGGTGGAGCTCCCTGTGGGGCCACGCACGAACCGTGTGAGGGGTGCGCCAAAATGGCGCGGGGCCGCCACGCGAACCCTGCCACTGGGGCCTTCGGTGGAGCTCCCTATGGGGCCACGAACCATGTGAGGGGTGCGCCGAAATGGCGCGGGGCCGCCATGCGAACCCTGCCACTGAGGCCTTCGGTGGAGCTCCCTGTGGGGCCACGAACCGTGTGAGGGGTGCGCCAAAATGGCGCGGGGCCGCCATGCGAACCCTGCCACTGGGGCCTTCGGTGGAGCTCCCTATGAGGCCACGAACCGTGTGAGGGGTGCGCCAAAATGGCGCGGGGCCACCATGCAAACCCTGCCAATGGGACCTTCGGTGGAGCTTCCTATGGGGCCACGAAAAGCTGCACTGGGTGGGTGAAACGCAGGGAGGGAAGAGGAGGGGGGAGGGGGCAGCGGGAGAAGGAGGAGGTGACGCGGGGACCGTCTCTTCAAAACGAGGACCCACCACCACAGGATGGTTGGGGAAAAAACCCAGTGTGAGCGGCGCTAAGGCGAGAACAACATTTTGAACATGAGCCGCCCTCAACCCGTGAAACTTTTGCAAATCTGCAAAAGCAATTTGCGCGGCGCGAAGGCGAGGGCCACATTTTGAAAACGTGCTGCCCTCAATCTGATACACCCTTGGATTGTTTCAAAAAGAAATGTGCGCGGCGCGAGGGCGAGAGCCACATTTTGAAAACGGGTCGCCCTCAATCTGTTAAACCCTTGCAGTATGTCGAACGGATGTGCGCGGCGCTAAGGCGAGAGACACATTTTGAAAAAGACCCGTCCTCCATCTGTGAAGCTGTTGCCAATGTTTGAGCTTCAAGGTCATAAATGGTGAGAAGTCGCAGGCGAAACGCCCGGCCCGCCCTAAAAACTGGCCTCGGGGTGCGACAGGGAGGAGGAGGTGGACGACGACGACGACGACGACGACGACGACGACGACGACGACGACGACGACGACGACGACGACGACGACGACGACGACGACGACGACGACGAGGCGCGGCGCCGCGCAGCGGTAGCCCGGGCCGAAGGCCAGACCCCAAATCGAATTCACACTCGGGGGGTGCTAGAAAGGTGCCCCGGGCCCAAAGCGCCCCCCCAAACTTTCCGCTCCATTTTGGAGCCCCTGGCCATCCCCCTCATTCTTCCAGGCCTTCCGTTCTAACCTTCTGCCCTTTTGTCGATCTGATCTATGTGGGTTCCCTTGAATTGCTTCTATGAGTTTCGATAAATTCTTCCGCACCCTCCGGGGAGGTTAGAAGGTATGGGAGGTGGAGGTGGAGGGGAAGGTGCCCCCGGCCCAAGGCGCCCCCTAGCTTTCCGCCCCATTCTGGAGCCCCTGGAGACATTCTTGGAGACCCCGTGGCGGCCCCAGGCAGCCCCCCACGTCGACTCCGAACGGCCAGCGACGGCTCGCAGCGGCCAGCGACGGCTCCGAGCGACTCCGAGGGGCCAGCGACGGCTCCGAGCGGCCGACGACGGCTCCGAGCGACTCCGAGGTGCCAGCGACGGCTCCGAGCGGCCGACGACGGCTCCGAGCGACTCCGAGGTGCCAGCCACGGCTCGAGGCGGTCAACAACGCCTCCGAGCGGCCACCTTTGACGCCCGCCTTGCTCCGTAGCGTACCCTCGTGCTGCCGTCATCCTTGTACCTGTCCGCCGCTGTCCCATACCTGCATGCAGGCAGAGCCACCCTGGCCCGCCCAGTGTAGAAGCATCGATGCTGGCCTCGCTGAACTCGAAAGTGGTCTTCATGTCCTTCAGCCGCAGAAAATAAGCACTGTCCTTGGGCACAGGATCGGGGCATGAGCGGCTGTGTTTTAAGCGTGCTGAGAGCGTGGAGGGGCAACGCCCGATGCACTCCATGCATGTCGCTGCCCAAGCGCGCCCAACCAAGCGCGCCCAACTCTCGAACACTTCACAGGCAGACGTATACTTGCCAATCCTGGTGCAATGTGGGAACGAAGAACAGGAGTCCAGTCTAGGAAAGGGTATCGTAGAACAGGTCAGGACAGAGAGCAAATTGGAGGACGGCCACCACGGAGAAGCAAACAGCAAATCTCCATGCCATCACAGAATGTACCTCTGCCCGCGCGGGTTGGTTTGATGGTTGTCTCAACTGTCCCCGCCATTCCGCTATCAGACGACCCGCTCTGGAAAACCCGAAATCCCAAACGCCCCACCTGCCCTGGGATCGCATCTTCTGCTTCCGCCAGCATCCGCCAGCCTTACGCAAGCGGGCCCGCCCACGCAGGTGCCGATGCCGCTGCTCTCCGGGTGCATTCTGACCAGAAGCCCAAGGAGAATCCAGCCGTGGCGGCGGGAACTCTCCAGGACGAGTAGCGGTATCGGTGCCCTGTCCTCTTCCGACCGGCCGCCCAAGGGCGCCGCGGGAACTGCGCGCCGCGGGGAGGCGCCGCCATCCGGGGCTTCGGGGGGCGGGGTCGGCTGAGGTTTTCGTAGGAACGATCACGGGCTCTTAAGCTAAGGTGCCACTGAGCCGAACCAGCCCAGAGTAAGCCCAGGATTCAAAGCCGAATTCAACGGATTGAAAACTCGCCATCGCCCGGACGTCCATACCCCGTGCACCTTTCGATTTCGTGCGAGTACTTCTCCTCTAAAGGATCCAAGATGCTCCTCGATGGTCCTCGCCGAGAACGCATGCACACGTCCGAACGATGCAAAGAAAAGGATCGGGCCATATTAGGCTGGACTAGGCCGGCTTCCGACCACGGATTCAAGAGCGCCGACGCTGAGCTTCACGTCCGAGGGGTTGCATCCTCGGGTCGGGACACCCGCCCGACACCGCACGGCCCCCCGTGGCGGGCGGATTCATCACAGCGGCGCCCGCGAGACGAACCTCGTGGGCACGCGCGCGAGGCACGCGAGTCTCAGGTCGGCATCGCATGTCAGAGGCGTTTGAAAGGGGAGCCGTCCGAGAGGTGGGTGAGCAAATCATGCCCTGGGGCATGTGCGCGAACGAGCGGGGGGGGGACCAAGAGACGCTTTGGAATAAGAAGAGGGGGCCATGAAATCCGGAGAGATATCTCTGCCCTAGCCATGACATCCACCCGCCACCCTGGCCATCCCCCCCTCTTGGCCGCCCCCGAGTCGGGAAACCTAAGAGGAGGCCAGGACGAGGGCAAAATCGGGCCAGGACACATCGGGGACCTCCGAGAGCCAGCGGCTCTGGAGGATGCCTCGAACGCCGCGGCCGCTCCAAGGCGCTCGGGAACGCCCCGAGAGCGGTCCGGGATGCTCTGGAACGACGTCTCCTGGCCATGGCCCCGCCCGACTTGGGTCTGACGAGGATCAGTCAGCATCGGATCGGGAAGTCGGATCGAATCGGAACGTGCGCCAGGTCGGGCTGCGTCGGCGCGGAATCGAGGTCGAAGCGGATCGGCCGCGCCGGGACGCACAGCTGCGTCTTGCAAGCAGCCAGCCGCATCGGACCGCTGGGAAATCGAAGCCCAGTCGGATCGAGCCCAGCGAATTCGAGAGCGAGTGGTCGAAGCGAAATGGGCCCGAAAGGGGGGGGGTCGGAGAGGAGGTGTGATGGAATCAGCTCGTGCAGCTGGCTTCCCCAGCGCCTCCCGGCCTCCCGGTGCCAGAGGCGCCCATGTGCCCAAGGAGGCGCCCGGCGGCGGAGCCGAGAGCAGCTGCACGCAGCACGCGAGGAAGCCTCCCCGTACAGCAGCTGCGCAACGCAGACGTCCGCGTCACCCCACCGCTGGCATCGCCCGACGTTCGAAAGCTCTGCACGAGGGAAGTGGCCATGAGGAGGCGGGGCAGCGAGGGCTGGCCCGACGTACCAGCAGGAACCGAGGGCCATCCGTGAGTACAGTCGGCCCGTATCATGAGGATGCGCGACAAGGATGCTAGGGCCTTGGACGCCCATTTCGAAGCTTCACGAGCGGGGCGCGGCCAACGATAGGGGCCAAGGATGGACCGAGGAGGCAAGGATGCAAGGGTACCCTTGGGAAGGTTGCCCAACCTTCCCATGCGGGTCGACTGTAAGTGATTCAAGCCACCCATCGTTCGATTCGTTGGGCATTCGCTCAAGTCCGCCTGAATGACGGACTGATGAACAGACAGTCTGATGGGCTGACTGGTTGGGACCCCAATCGGCCAGTCAGCAGGACAATTCGTCACCCAATCCCTCAGCAAGTCAGCAGGTCAAGCTAGACTGACTGTGCGACAAGGCTCCAATCAATCACTCAGTCAGTCATTGAACCATCAGTCAGTCAATACGTGATCTGGTCAGTGCGTGGGTCACCAAGACAATCTGTCACTGGATATTGCCTGATTGACTGACCGACCAGGACAACTGACACCTTACCAATCAAACAATCGGTAAATGCTTTGAGCAAGCTTGACTGATTGACTAGGCCAACCGGGCTCAAGCCTTACCCAGGCAGTCACACAGTTCTGACAACCCAATCAGGCCAACCTGATGGACTGGCGGACTGGGACTTTCATCAGACAGAGGCGGTTTGCCACGTCAGTCAGTGGGTCGTTCAGGCCAGCCTGATTGATTTCTTGAGGCTCCAGAAATCAGCTAGTCAGGCCACAGTGCCTGGCTGACTGACAAGCAGGCAGACAAGCAAGCAATCCGTCGATCAGGCAATCGGCCAGAGTCCAAGCGGCCTGCTTGACCGTGAGCCAATTCCTCGTTATACGTTCGGACTCCGTAGTTCTGAACTCTAGCGTGCAGAACGCTCATGCCACATTCTGGTCATGCCAAATTCCGAGCATTTCGAACTCTTGCAACACACGAGCTAGAAATGGTGAGTGACAGAACACAGGCCCGTCCAGTAGAGCACCGGCTGCCAGTCTCCCCACACCTTCCTCCCGCAAGCGAAGGGAAGCAGGCAGGCAAACCAGGGAGCAAGCAAACGACCAGGCAAGCGCAGTGCCCGCGTGCGTCTGCTGAGCAGTAGATGCGAATCTGTGCGATGACGACGAGCTCAACTTGTTCAACACGATTACTGCTTCTTCGTCTACGACGGACAGACACCCAATTCTGATGCGGAATTGCCTGGCAACACTATGTCGCAGCTTGGCCGTAACTGGAAGTTTAACGTGAATCCTGACATGGTGGCGCTCTGGGAGTGAAGGCGTAGTAAAGTGGCCATTCCATCGCGCATACCACTTTGATGTTTACCTAAACACTTACGGCAACAAAGCGCTCGATCACCGATGCACTGAGCCGCGGGCGCACTAAGGTTGAATTACGACTATGATGACACTATCGCTCTCTCGTGGCTTCCAGATACCGGAGTGCATTTGTTACTGATGCTGCGTACTTTTCCTTTCGGATCTGTAGTATCATTGTGAAACGGTGTCTCGGTGCACTAGCACCTTGACGAAATGTATTCCCAACTGCTTGATGGTATGCGTGCTTCGCTCTGCCGAGTGTACGCTTGCCGCTCGCCACGTGTGCCATGACAACAGCAAGTGACACAGGGGCAAGAGCTGCGTCATTGCCGTTACGCGTGCGTGCTTGCGTTCGCACGCCCTTGCACCCAAGACCTCCAGCGGCTCGACTCGAGCCAAGTCGTGAAACCCTGGACGTCTCGACTGCTGCTCCCAACATCCTGTTCTGGCGGCCTGGCGGCCCGAGACGGGCCCCTGGAAGCCGAAGATGGGAAAGCACCTCCGGCACGATCCTTTCGATTCCCCTCCCTCCCCGCCCGCAGCTCGAAGCACCCGCGTCCTGGCTCCTCGACCAGCATCTGATCCAGCCTTGAGGTAGCCTGGCTGACGCGACACAATAGCGCACTGAGATGGGGCGGATCGCACATCGTGGGAGCGCGCATTGGAGGAAGCCCCACTTCAGACTGTGAGGAAAACGTGGCCGTAGGTCCTCCTACCCGTCCCTCGGGGGAGTCCAAAAGGGGGGGCGTCCAAGAGGGGGGGTGCAAATTATGGCCCGAGGCACGTGCGCGGCCCGGCGGAGGGCCAAGGGATGTACTGAAATGAAACAGAGGGGCCACGAAGTCCGAGGAGATATCAGGGCCCCAGCAATGATATCCCCCTAGTCATCACCTCCATCTTGGCCGCCCCGTCCACGATATCCCCCCCAGTCATCACCTCCATCTTGGCCGCCCCCGACCCCTCTTCCCCTTCCTCCTCTCCCTCCTCCTCCTCCTCCTCCTCCTCCTCCTCCTCCTCCTCGTCCATCTCCTCCTCCTCCTCCTGCTTCTCCTCCTCCTCCTCACTCTCCTCCTCCTCCTCCTCCTCTTCCTCCATTATCCTTTTCCCCTCCCCCGCCTCTTTATCCCCCTCCCCTCTAGACATCCTGCGCAATGCAGACTTAGTGCGACCGGTATGCGAGACGAGGCATGCATTTCGCGAGCTGCACGAGAGTGGTCGATCAGTTTGGACCTAGGGAACACCATCAGGACAGCTGATATTGATATATGTATACACATATGTATATATATAAATATATATACACAGATGTATACATATCTGTGCACACACGCACGTACATGCATCTGTAGATGAAAGCATACACCCAGGAATGACATTGGCCCGCGCCAAGTAGCAACACATATGGTACGATATACGTGTACGAGGACAATGAGGAGGAGGGGAGGAGGAGGCGGAGGAGGAGGAGGAGGAGGAAGGATGCGGGAGAAGGCAAGAGAATGGAGAGGAATGCGGAGGAGAGGGGGGATACCGGAAAATGAAAGATAAGCAGGAAGGAGGGAGAAGGGGTGAGAAATGACAAAGGAGGGATGATGATGAGGGCGAATGAGATGAGCGGTCAGGTGAGGGGAACAATCGGGGCCCTAGAATACTGAGGTACATGACTCCACCAATGGTGCGTGACCCCTTGAGTTTGACGCAGCCCTCGAAACGATTAAAGACTGCGGCATGATAAAACGCAGGAGTAACCACAGGACAGGCAACTTGCATAACACAAATGCAGCGAGACGGCGCCCGACACTAATCCCTTCATCCCTCTTCATACTCTTCATACTGCTACTGCTGCTGATTATCTTCCTCCCACCTCTCCTGTTATAAACTCCTTATCGCTAGTCCTCCATCCGCTTTCTCCTCTTGCTCGTTTTACCTTTTCTACAACTAAATGTGTGTGTGGAAATATAGCTCCTTCCTGTGGCACCCTGAGACGTGTCAGTAGGAGGGCCGTCATTTTCAACATTGGGTTCCCCGCCATAACGCCGCACACCGTCGCCTTCAAATCTAAGAACCGTCTCAAACGTGGAATAGGTCTGCTTTCAAGCCGGGACTGGCGTTGTGGCGCCACGCTCGTTCGCCTCAAACGTCTTCAAAGCCTTCCAGGACAATTCATCGGTCGGTTCCACAACAGGGCATCTCACATTAGCGCTGCGCGCATCCGCCTCGAACGTCTGACGCAACTTCAAGGATGGAAGACGAGTCCGTCTCAAGATAGGGCTCTCGCCTTACATACGGTTGAACTCTGTGCAACCACATCAGAGACGGAGGGGGTCGCTTTCAAACATGGCCAATGATCTCAATGCCCCGCGCACTCGTCGTAGCTGTGTGCCGCACTGTCCGCGATGGAGTGCGGCCGCTTCCCAAACTGGAGTCCCGCCATCGCACCGCACGCATCCTTCTTGACAGCTCAGCGCCGCGCACATTCGCGCGTTCGCACAAGGACGTCAGACGGTTCCTCCTCGAAGCGGCAATTTGTCCAAGTGACGCGCATCCAAACCTACAACAAGCTAGGACACTCGAGCACATGCAGCGCCTGCACGGGCTGAGAGCGGTTCCTTCTGAATACGGGGCTCCCGCTTGCGGCTTCCTTGAGGTCCGGGGTCAGAGTTAGAGATGCGTGGAACAAATGCACAGACCGCGGTGGTCCTCCTTCAAGGTGTTTCGCTGGCGACCCCATTGAACTCTATGATCTTACCTTGGCGGATTCCTTCTTACTCCGTAGTCGGTGCACGGCAATCCATTTTTTCAAAAGCGGGGCGATCGCCCGAATGCCATGCCGACGGGGTGCTGACTTTCTCCAGGGGGCGGTTCTTGCATTGAAAGGACCATTGAGGAGAAGACTTGACACGGGAGGGTGCGTTGCAACATCGTTGGTGCATCGTGGGTCCTCCTCCTCCTCCTCCTCCTCCTCCTCCTCCTCCTCCTCCTCCTCCCCCTTCCCTCCCCCCTCCCTTCCCTCCTCCGTGCTTCTCCTCCCCCTCCCTCGTCCATTCTCCCCGCTCCCGTCCTTCTCCCTCCTGCCTCTCCGCTCCCTCCTCCCCCCACTCCACTCATCCTCGTTTTTCCTGTCCCCTCCCCCGCCTCTTCCCTCCGACACCTCCTGCTGCTCCTCGTTTTTTTTTTTTTTTTTTTTTGTTTCTCTCTCTCTCTCTCTCTTTCTCTCTCCTCCCTCCCTCCCTCCCTCCCTCCCTCCTCCCTCCATCTCCTCCTCCTGCTCCCTCATCCTGCCACGGTGTCACGCCACCCCGCTTCTTCTTCTTTCTTCCCCCGCATCCACCAACCAGTCCTCCCTGTTCCAACCCTCCACCTCTTCCTTGATCAATTTCGTCCTCATCCTGCCGATCCTTTCTCCTCCTCCTCCTCCTCCTCCACCTTCTCATCCTCCTCCACCCTGCCCCCTCATCGTCCAATTTACTCTCCTTCCTCCCTTATTTTCCTGCTGCTGATGATTCCCGCTACTCTTCATGCTCCTCATGCTCCTCCTCGTCAACACTCCCTTATAATCAAATCATTTTCCTCATTGTTATCGTCCCCCTCATCAATCCCCCTCATCCATCCTCTTCTCGACTATGCCCGCATCCTCTTCTTGTCCTCCACATTCTCCCTCGTCTTTGCTGTTCTCCTCCTCCGCCTCCTCTTCCTCCGCCTCATTCCCTTTTTTTCTTGTCTTCCCCTTAAGACCTCCCTGTCATCCCATAACAACATCCCACAGGATCTCGGAAACCCGTTGAGACTCGCGAGTGCCTCCCTCGATGTCCGCCATCTCATCCCTTCCCCTCGACCTGAAGTCCTCCTGCTCCCTCCTCACACTCCCTCCTACCTTTCCTCGTTTTTATCCTCCCTCCTCCCCTTCGCCCTCCTGCTCTCCCCCCCCTGCCAGAAGAGAACGACGACGACCATCACGACGGCGACGACGACCGCCAAGAGGACGACGGCAACGAAGACGATGCCGACCACGATGACGACCACGACCACGAAGACGACGGTGAAGACAACGACCACCATCACCACCACCACCACCACGACGACGACGACGACGACGACGACGACGACGGCGGCGGCGGCGGCGGCCCAAGGCAGCGCGCCGGGCGGCCGCGGCGGGCCGCCGCCTGGGCCAGCCGATCCAGATCTTCTTCTGCAGCAGCCCCCACTGCGCGCGGGTCCCCGCCGCCGAGGGCCAGAGGCCCCCTCCAGCTGGGGTCGGCGCAGACGGGGTCGCCCGCCATCGCTCGGACGTCTATTTCCCGTGCATTTTTCGGTTTCGTGCGTGTTTTTTTTTGCTCGATGGTCCAGGATCGTCCTCAATGGTTCTCGCCGAGAAAAAATGCACACGTCCGACCGATGCCAAGGTCGGAGGATCGCGCCGCATCGCCGATGCGTCGGCGATGCGTCGGCGATGCATCCGTGATGCAACGGCGATGCATCGGCGACGTCGACGTGAAGCACGTCGAGCCGCATCGGCGATGCATCGGCGACGCGGCGCGATCATCTGACCCCGTCTGCTCCAGCCGCATCTAGGAGGCCTAGACAAGCGGGGGCCGCCGTTGCGGAGGATGCTCGACGGCCAGCAAGGGGGGGGAGCGAGAAGGAGAAGCCTTCTCAGAAGGCAGCGGGACTTCTCAGAAGCCCTCGCGCCTTCTGAAAGGTTTTCTGTGACTTCGGGGAAGGCTCAAAAACTTTTCGGAAAGCTGGAAAACTTCCGGTCCTTCTGAGAATGCCCGCCCCCTCACTTCCCCCCCGGGGGCGCCGCCGACAAGCGGGGGCCGCTGTTGCGGAGGATTCGTTCGATCGATTCGATCGGTCAATCGAGGATCGAAGAATATCCGCCGGCCCCCTTGTGGGGCCACCAGGCTGCGAGGAGCGGGATTCGCAGTTTCCTGTACCAGGTGTAGCTTGTAGTTTCCAGTGTTACAATTCTGCTTATTGCTGGTTACTGTAACTAGTTGATTGACCGCGCGAGGGGGGGGAAGCCCAAACCGGCTTTTTAGCACCCCCTGGGCGCGTTGTCTGAATTGCTGGGGGGGCTCGAAATCCACACCCCTCACGCAGATCCGCGGGGTCAGGGTCCAAAAACACAAGGGATTTGCCACATTTCTGAAATTCGGTGCCACCCCTCACGCAGATCCGCGGGGTCAGGGTCCAAAAACACAGGGGATTTGCCACATTTCTGAAATTCGGTGCCACCCCTCACGCAGATCCGCGGGGTCAGGGTCCAAAAACACAGGGGATTTGCCACATTTCTGAAATTCGGTGCCACCCCTCACGCAGATCCGCGGGGTCAGGGTCCAAAAACACAGGGGATTTGCCACATTTCTGAAATTCGGTGCCACCCCTCACGCAGATCCGCGGGGTCAGGGTCCAAAAACACAGGGGATTTGCCACATTTCTGAAATTCGGTGCCACCCCTCACGCAGATCCGCGGGGTCAGGGTCCAAAAACACATGGGATTTGCCACATTTCTGAAATTCGGTGCCACCCCTCACGCAGATCCGCGGGGTCAGGGTCCAAAAACACATGGGATTTGCCACATTTCTGAAATTCGGTGCCACCCCTCACGCAGATCCGCGGGGTCAGGGTCCAAAAACACATGGGATTTGCCACATTTCTGAAATTCGGTGCCACCCCTCACGCAGATCCGCGGGGTCAGGGTCCAAAAACACATGGGATTTGCCACATTTCTGAAATTCGGTGCCACCCCTCACGCAGATCCGCGGGGTCAGGGTCCAAAAACACAGGGATTTGCCACATTTCTGAAATTCGGTGCCACCCTTCACGCACATCCATCGCAAGGCGTGGTAACCCAAACTGCGAGAACTCCCTCGGCCCTTTAATCGCAAGGTGTGGTAACCAAGCCCGTAAACCATACACGTCTTACCAATCGCCAGGTGTGGTAACCCCTCTTGTGATCAGTTGGTTTTGCTGATTGCGAATCGGCTTCGCATGAAGTTTCGATACTGCTTCACGACAGCGCCAAGACCTCATGACTTAGCTCTTCCATGGCCCATTCTCCGAGAGAGGGGGCCGGCGGCAGGGGGCGAAGCCCTTACGGATATGAAGCGGTTTGGCACGTTCTTGCGGCTCTTTCTTTTCCCGATCTGGCTGCCTGGTGCCTCTGGGCGTCGCTTGTTTCTGTACCTCTTGCTTGCCTCCTCGTTGCTTGCCTGCCTGCTTGATGGCGCCGCGCGCTTGCTCGCATATGCTCTTTCTTGTCACTGCGGTGCTCGCTTCTGCACTGCTGGCAAAGATGCGCGAGACGCAGAACATCAGGATCGAGGGGGCTTCTTCTGCCAGATCTGTGCCCGACCGCACGCAGCGGCTCCCCACACCGAGGCCCCTTCCAGGCAAGAAGTGGCGTGAGCCATCGACCGAACCCCAGAAATCCAGCGCGAGACTCGGACACGACTACCTGCTTGCTGCACTGCTGCAGAGGCCTGCTCTACAGCGGGAGCGGCATTGCGAGTCCGTGCTGGTGGAGCGGAATCGTCCTAGATAGGGAGCCCACAAAGGACGTACGCGCCCAGCTATGTACATGAGCGCGGCCCCTCGATCCGCGAGACCCGCCGCGCGATACGAACATTCGCGCAATGCGTGCTCTCGAAACCTGCGCGGATTCAAGTACGTGTACGTCCTTCTTTCGCTCCTGACTAGATCGGCACGCGAAGCAAGCCCGACTTCTGCCTGCTCACCACATCCTGATCGAGGGGGGTTATTGCTCTCTCCGGCCCGGAACCTGCTCGTGAGTACACGCTCGTGTGTCTAAAGGGGCTCCCTTTGAAGGCGGGGCGCGGCCAGCGGAAGCGGCCAGGGATTGGGCCGAAAGGGAAGGATGCAAGGGTAACCTTGGAAATTTGCTCAGCCTTCCTAGGCGGGTTGACCGTATGATCCCTCACTCCTTCTGCGGCAACTCATGGGGGTCTCCCATGCCATCTTGGCGGATCCTGCGAAGCGACGCTATCCAACGCTGATCGACGCTAAGTCGACGCTCCTCGACACTAAATCGAAGCTCATCGACGCTAAATCTGCGCATCATCATCGATTACCAAACGCTAATGCACGCTAATGCACACACAAATAAGTACACACAGATCCCAGGATTCTCTATATCCCACCAGCCCTTTAGGGCGTCGGTGGTTTAACGAGTTTCCTCTTCCACCCCTCCTTCTTCCCCTTCGGGGAGGGGTTTACCCCTCCCCCTACCCCCTCCCCACTGACCTGGACAAGGGGGGCCGCGGGTAGTTAGAGCGTCCAAAACGGCCTCGGCGAGGAAGCCAAAATCATTGATTTTACTATGGTTTGGGCCCCATTTTGGCCTTCTGAGGGGGGGCTGAAATTTAGGACCCCCCCTTCTTTGATCGATTTCCTCCACGATGGCCGCAAGAGGCCCCCAGGATGCCCCAAGAGGCCGCAGGATGGCCCCAAGATGGCCCCAAGAGGCCCCCCAAGAGGCCCCCAGGAGGCCCCCAAGAGACCCCCAAGAGGCCCCAAGAGACCCCCCAGAGGCACCCAAGGTGCTCCCAGAGGCCCCAAGATGGCCCCAAGAGGCTCCAAGAGGCCCCCAGGAGGCCCCAAAGAGGATTCCGAACGGCCCACAGAGGCCCCCCCGAGGCATCCAAGACGCCGAAAAGCCCCTCAGGACGACCCTCTACTCGCCTGGGCGTCGTTTCTGGACGGGCTGGTGGGGATACGCGAAGCGTCTAGAATTTTGCAATATTTTCTGTCTTTGCGTTTTCCCCCGCACTTCCCATATTTTCGCATATGTTCCTGGGAGTCGACGATTCAATGTGTCTGTGTGTTTCTTCCCTTCCTGAGTTATGACCCGGACACCACCCGGGTCGGGCCCAAAGAAATTTGGGCCAGCAGAAAAATTGGCGAATTGACATACGCAGCTGATTTCCGCGGCGCATTCGGGCGCCGGAGGTGCCATCGCGTGTATATATAATATACACACATATACATGTACATACATATATAACTATGTATGTATGTATGTATGTATGTATGTATGTATATATATATATATATATATATATATATATATATATATATATATACCGTAGCACCTCGAATATGCGGATAAGAGTGAAGGGGGCGGTGGGAACGTCGGCAGTTTGAGGGACTCTGGAGAAGCCCGCCGCAGGAGCTAAAGTTTCACAAATTATGATACGAGCCCGGCGCTGGCGCCGATCTTTTCGTTAAACCAGTGTGGGTCGGTCGCGGGTGGGCCGCGGGTGGGTCACTGTTGGGTCGCGGGTGCAGCGGGCAGAAGGTCCACACCATAATAATCACCCCAACAGGCAAAGACGTTGAGCAATCGAACGCAAGGAATGAATCGAACAGGGCAGGGCTGTTTAGTAAACGCCCAAGGCCGTTTAGTAAATGTAGATTGTCGGGTCTGGGCGGTTTCTCCTCCTTTGAGGGTGGGTCGCGGGGTGGGTCGCGGGGTGGGTCACGGGGTGGGTCGCGGGTGGGTCGCGGATGGGTCGCGGGTGGGTCGCGGGGTGGGCCGCGGGTGGGTCACGGGGTGGGCCGCGGGTGGGTCGCGGGTGGGTCGCAGGTGGGTCACGGGGGGTCGCGGATGGGTCGCGGGTTGGATCGCGGGTGGGTCGCGGGTGGGACGACGACAAACAACAACAACACGAACAAAAACAACAACATCATCAACAACAACAGCATCAACAATAATCACCATAAGACTGTTCGGTCTTACTTGCCCGCGTGTCATTCAAAACGAGCTCCCCACACCCTCGATACCGGCCCTGTTTGTCTTCGATCACACCCCCTTTGGGGGGATTCTTTCTCTTTGCGGGGGCGGCAGGCTTAGACAGGCGGGCAAGCCTGAACAGGCGGACAATCCTTCGTGGTCGTACATGTTCCCGCCATTAGAAGTGGTATGGGCCCTGCAAAAAGAGGGTGGGAGAACGAGGGAGAGTGGGAGGAAGGGAGGGGGAGGGACGAAGGAACAGGGAAACCGCCAGGAGAGAAGGAGCGAAGAGGGGGGCGGTTGATTAGAGGCAGAGAGAGAGAGAGAGAGAGAAAGAGAGAGAGAGAGAGACACATATATTTACATATATAATATATATATATATATATATATAGAGAGAGAGAGAGAGAGAGAGAGAGAAGAGAGAGAGAGAGAGAAGAGAGAGAGAG